GGTAAGAGGGCAGGGGAGTTCGGGGTGGTGGTCAGAGGCGGGGGTGTGGATGGGGTCGGGGCGGTCAGAGGGCGGGGAACGGGGTAGTTGAATGGGGGCAGGGGTCCCGGAGGGCAGTCAGGAAAGAGGGGGGTTGGATGGGGTGGCGGGGAGCAGTTGGGGGGGAGGTCCAGGGGCGGTCAAGGGACAGGGAGCAGGGGGTGGTGGATGGGGCACGAGTCCCAGGGAGGCAGTCAGGGGGCGAGAAGCAGGGGGGGATTGGATAGGGGTTGGGGGCCAGGCCATGCCTGGCTATTTGGGGAGGCACAGTCTCCCCTAACTGTCCCTCCATTCAATTTTGGAAACCCGATGTGGTCCTCGGGCCAAAAAGTTTGTCTGCCCCTGGACTAGAACCGCCGAAGTTCCACAGTCCGAGGTAGCGTTAGCTGTCTTTAGTTTAGATAAAGAGTTTTGGAAATGACACAAAACCTCATGCTTCAGGTTTTAAACCAACTTCAGATTAGGATGAGACTTTCACCAGGGGGGTGGGGGTGGAGAATTACCCCACATCTGCTGCCACGGGGGGGCCCAAAATGAAAAATGTATTATCCACTCAGCCCTACTGATGATCACTACAGAAGGCAGGAAAACCACTGGCACCTACCCTGAGAGGAGCCGGATGTCAAAGGGACCAAGCAGGGACTGGCAGTCTTCAATTACAACTTGGGAGACACCCGCTGAATAGTCGGTCACCCTGACTTTTGCGTTAAGGTTCACGTCCACTGAAATATGGATCAGACCAGATAGCCTAAAGAAATAAACTCAGGTTAGATACAGCTCATCTCACAGCATGCTGCAATATGGTTCATCTAAGGAGAGACGTTTATAACCTTCAAAACCATGATATGATGGTCAGATTAAAATTAGTGAAATCTCACACCTCTCCCTATTGAAATTCACTGCCAACGCTATTAACTGACTTCTGCACCGGCACTGTGAGCACATTGCTACCTGTGGGGATCATGTGAAAATCCATACAAGGTGTACATTTCCTAGGTGCTGTGATGCACACAGACTAGGGTTACTTTGCAATGGGGAAATTGCATAAACAACATGGTGCACTGCAAAAATATCCACCTCTCTATATTCCTGAGGTGAAGTAACAAGAATAAACTGGGTCTAAGTGGTTGCAGTAGGTTAACACAGGTTTTTTTTCCCCTCTTTACTGTTCTTTGAGTTTTGACCCCTGAGTTCTACAGACCTCGGGCGTAACAGAGATTTTCTACGGGAGGGAGGTTTCCAAATTGTTGTGTTTTGTGAAACAAAAGTTACAGTGAGCCAGGTTATGCTCTCAGATGCAGGCTCATGGCACCCATTGGCTTCAGGGGGAGCCACCAACAGGTATCTGAGGGCAGGAGAGAGCCCACTGCTTTTCCCAGCGCGAGTCAGGACTCCTCCAAAGAGCATCTGACCAACGTATCCAGTCATCGTTCGGTTCTGTGCGCCAGCGAGAAGAACAAAACGCTGCAGGTTGTCAACCCGCACTCACAACAAGTCGCCATCGATCTCCAGCTTCGTAGCAAAGGTCAGCTGGCCCCCAATTCCCGGCAGCAGCGTCACCGACACCGTGGGCAGCTGGACGTTAACAACTTCTAGTCTGCAGAACGAAAGCCGAGGCCGGGAGAAAGGGCTGAGCAGTTACACACATTCAGGAACTGAAATCCCAGATTAGCCCTCTGTGATCTGCACTTTAGACGTTACCCACAAAAGTAATGGGCCAAATGCAGTGGTGACGGGTAAAATGGTGCCCGGGGTGGGGAGGCGAAGGCAGTCTAACGTGTTTGAACTCACACCCCGGAGGAGCAGAAGTTAAAATGGGGGGAGGGAAAAGCAGAGCGATCGCTTGCAGCAGGATGCATTGTGTAGGATACAAACCTGCATGCTGGTGCGACACACACCCAGTCCTGAGCAAAAAGCCAAAGTGGGGTCCTGGAGTGAGGCTGATCCAGGAAGGTGCATATGTTTTTTCATTCTGACCCTATCATTGACCTCCCCCCCCCACACACACACACACACACCCTGCTGCGCACGCACACGCAAACACAATGGCTTCACAGCTATAATTCTGCATCTGAAAATATAAACCGCACCCCCCGAGACTGTCACACTGTTGTCCAACTTGCTACGGTGAGATGCAGCCTGGGCATCTTGCCCACAATGCACCGCACCCCCATCTTACCAACCCGTGGGAGAGCTGGAGTGACAGCCTGTGGCGTAACAGCATAGCTACGGTCTGCAGTTAGACTACGTTTGGTGGGCAGTGACCTGCCCTTTTCCTCGCCTGTCAAGCACCTCGCGCACAGTGCTGTGGACCATCCAAACCATGGAAATTCTTCAGTGCATTGACAGGTGAACTAATCCAATCTTGGCCTCTGCACACGTCAGACGAGGCACTTACAGGTGTCTGCCTTTGCACATGCACGGGCGCTCTCAATACCCCAACACCCGCACATCAGTATGTGTGTGAATTTGCACCTGCAAAAGCTATTGGAGTCAACGTTCTTTGTCCCCAAAATCTGTTCTATTCTGACAAGCCAAAACCCTGGACGCAAAGAACAAGCATAACAACCTTTACAGTCTGGAAAGAGCAGTAGGTGTGGGATGTCCCAGTGAGAATTGCCACCTACAGATGATGACAGAGCATCCTGAGGGTCATATGAGGGGAGACTTGGACCCAAAGAGGAAGGAAGTTCAAAGGAAAGGCTAAAACTACCTTCTTAAGTCATTCCAGTGACTTCAACTGGTTGGGGTCCTTGATAACAATAAATGATTCTTCTATACGAGATGCAATCATGGACCACAAGGGATGAAATCTGAGTCTGAGTTCACAACTGGCATCAGTAGGCAACAGCGCCAGCTTCTCCCTTGGTATAAATCAGTATAAGGATCCATGATAGGGACTCTAGACTGACCTTATTCTTACTGATGGTAGCTTGTCCCCTGCTTCTCCCCTTTGGAGTCAGTCATAAAGACCCCCATTGAATCCAGTGGGATTTGGGTCAGGCCCCCAATGCAGAAGCTTTAGCATATTGTTCTCCGCTTACCCTGTGATGCTGATGAATGAACCGAGCAGGCCCCCTCCGCTCACGATGTCGGGGATCTGTATCGCCTGGAGATGCTTTTGGAGAAGCCCATCCTGAAGCAATGCACCTGAGACAACTGGAACACATCTTTCCATGAGACCAGAGACCCTTGAGAGTGACCCCTAGTCAAATGGAACTCAAGGTGCAAGTGTTACATCAGTAAACCATAACACACCATACGGGGGAGGGGGGAGAGCAATATTTTACAATATGGACTGAACTGAAACAGTCCTTGGCTTAGTAGCTCTGAAAGGTAACCATGAAGAGCATCCTCAGTGTGGTGTAGGGGAAATGGTGTTATAATTACAAGCTAGCACTTTCAGTGAGAAGGGTTTCCTGGTCCTGCTTGCAGACTACGGGGCTTTGTAGGGAAGTGTGTGATCTGGGTCTTGTGCAGTCAATCTGCAAAGAGCCAGCCTAGAGTAAGGGGGGTGACTTGTGCATCTCTGCCTTAGAGAGCAGATTGGTTTGTGTCTCTCTAGTTTGGGTTCTTGTGCGTTAGCATTCTAGAATCTAAGCCGTGTTACGTTACAACCTTCTAGAAAGAGAATTTTATGTTTTTAATCTCATTTCAGTGTGTGCACCGCGAACTTAACACACTATAAATCTAATTTAAACAGGATTACTATGTAGCTGTGTCTTCTTTACAAACTTGCTACCACCCTTGCCAGATTAGTGCTGAAAGCACAGCTTGTACCGTTTGTGTTCCATTTGGGGCATAACCACAATTGCAATTTTAGTACAACGAGTATGTCAGTATACGTTAGAAACATTAACTCGTTCATTAATTCTCACAACAAACCCTGAGGAAGGAAAGTCAATTCCCCGCCTTTTACAGATGGGAAACTGAGGCACAGAGGGGCAAATGCGGACCTGGGCTCAGACCCTGGGATGCCGAGCGGCTGCTTTGTGCTGCACCATCCGCTGCTCCTGACCCTTCCGGGATTGCACAGGGCCCTACAAAGGCCCATGATCACTTCTGAGTCTCCTGCTGGAACCAGGAGCTCTGAGGAGCCAGGACTGCCCCCGGTAAGTGAGTAAATACAGAATAAAGTAGGAACAGGGAAGGTGACAAAGCAAAGGGGCTGTGCAGAGAGGCTTTGTTCCCACTCATCATCCCACACAGTTTGCAGCATAACTGTGACCCATATTTTTCTATTTACCATTTTGAATTCCCTCTGGACTGACTACAGAAAAGACTCCAGGGACCACTCCCTGAGATAGAGGCAGCAGGCTACAGAAGAGGACGATTCCCAAAACCTTTAACATCTTCAGCTCTGATCCCTGCAGAGAGAATCTCCAGTCAGTGCAACTGCAGTGTAACCAAGGAAAAACAGGCCCCTGCTGAGAGATCCAGGGCCCGTGGGCCAAATCCTGGCACGCCGCTCAGTCCTTTCTCAGCCAAAACTCTCACTGGAGCCCATGGGAGTGTCACTTCCGTAAGGAATGAGTAAAAGCTGAGTGAGGACATCAGGGTTTGGCCCAAGAACAGCATATCACCATTTATTGCACCACCAAAGCATTTCCGACACCTCTCAGGAAAGGCAACCAAACGGCCTTTCATGGAGACGAGTCCTTAATCAATGTTCTAATTATGAATTACTTTCTATAGCCTTTATTGAAGTAGTGCAGATTTCTTCCAAGGATCCCTACCAAAGGATTCATCCCAAGAGCCATGCTAGACATAGCAATAGCTCGAGCTTGACATGCTATTTTATTCTTTTCAATTTTCATAAGTGACAAAATAATCGACGGAAATAAGCAATGTGAATGATAGAAAAGTCACAGATTTAAGAAACCCAGCACTGAACTGAGCATCCACGTCGTTCAAGGATTAGAAATGTAATGACTGCATTATCACTCGCTCGTTTCAAACTCGTTCACATCACAGGATGAGCAGCGGAGCTGGTGAGGTAAAGTTGCAGGTGTTATAATTACCTGGATCTGGTCTGGCTCCCTTCGCTGATGCCTGGTAGCTCTCCAGAGCTTTCTTGCTTTCTCTGTTCTTGGGTAGCTGAGGTGAAGCAGGGAGCCCTTATATAATCAAAACCTACGTAAGAATGAGGAAAATCAAACAAATGATGAAACATGAGCTAACCCCTTGGGTATAAGAATTCCGTGGGGGGAGGAATTTTTTCCTGTCTCCCAACATAACTGAAGACATTGAAAAATTGAGCACGTTCTTGAACAACAGGTTGTTCAAACGAAGCTGCAGGATAAGGGTCACCACCACCACCAAGCAGCATTCTCACGCTCCCACGCGTAGTGCTCGGAGGTCAGGAGCGCTGAGAACTTGCAAACCACATGGGACTGGAAGGGACTGCTGTCCACCAGGGTTGCTTGCTGGCTGTAGGACAGGTTGTAAGGTCTTTACGTGAAGCTGTGGAAGTCAAAGAAGAACATTACTACTAAGCAGGCATTGAAGAAGGTAGAGTTCCCATGAGTCAGTTGTCAAGCGTCTTCATACTCATCGTCCCAGCTCTGTTCCTGGAGAACAAGCATGGATGTAAACTCGATTTTTAAGGCATATGCCCAGAGCATCAGTTTACAGTAGATATTTGAACCAGGTTCTTCATATAGAAGAGAAAACAACATAACTCCTGCATGAAGGAAACATTTTAATCTCCTAGGGCTCCGTTGATTTCTGATGTCTGGGGAGGTGCATTCTCCCATTGCATATCTTGTAAAGCCAACGATTGTGCATGTGTGTGCAAACACTGCAACAAGTATTAACCTGTGTAATGTCACAGAGGGCTGGGCGCATTCTGCTTTGGAAGTCTGGTCGTGGGGGCCAGAATGTATCAGCTCCGTACATCGCAGTGCTGAGAGACCTGGAACCCAAGAGCCAGATCCTTAACGGGCACAAATTCTAGTGAACCAATGGGTCAGATCCCCATTTGATGTAAACAGGCAGAGCTCCAATGAAGTGAGCTGCGGGTCTGGCCCAGAGATGTTAAAATTAAAGCTACAAACATGGACACTATTATACAAGGCCGTAAGAACATAGAAAGTCAGAATAAAGCCCTCTAGCCCTTGCTACACCTAAATTACAACCAGTAAGATGCCTTCATTCATCATTCCCATCTAATAATGAGCTCTGCCACTATATTCCTGCTCTTGCCGTGCCCAGCTGCCACTTGGATTGATTTATACTGCATGGTTTTATTGCTGACATTGCTGCTGGTTTTGTTTGCCTTGATGGCTTGGAAAACCTGCCTGGGCAGCTCTCTTTGTTTGCATTTGAAAGGAGCCTCTCCGATTTAACAAGGCCAAAGCAGTCACCATAAATGTCAATGGAGAATTTTCCAAGAGAGGAAAAGATGTGGCCTCCTTTTGCACAGATCTCAGCTGCAGCCGAAGGATGCGCACGGCCACGTATCCAGTAAGGAAAGTTATTGTGTAGACGTGCAAACAGCACATGCCAGTTTTACAACATAAACATCACACACACACACACACACACACACACACACACACACACCTAAGATCCCAATCAAACCCCTAATGAGCCAGTGGGAATGAGAATCTACAGCAGCTGTCAACCATCCCTTTGGTTCAAAATTTCAGAGGCATTTAATAAAAAGGCAGATCAAGGCGGAACGCTAACGAGGAGCCAACAACATGCAGGGGTCTTTTGCAGAGCCCAAGACTTATACACAGTTTTATCCATTTTGTCACCGTGGGTCTGATCTGGCCAATGGCCCAGTGCTCAGCACAGTGCAGGAAGGGGACATGTCAAGATGGCTTTCTTAAGGTCCAGTCCTCAGTGTTTTGAGAGCAGGGTGTAGGGGAATCACAGCCTTGCTCCCCTTTCCCCGCACACCGATGACTGGGGGGGGACGCTGGCGTCGAAACACTATAGCAGTTCTGAAGATTCTCCTACCTGGAGGAGGCCACCTGTGGAGGGACAGGTCAGCTACAGGGTAGTTTTACCCCAACGTCCTCAAGGCTCGGGCCCAATACCACGTCCTTCGTAGTCATACAGCAGACATAAGAATCAATGTTTTCAGTTCAATCTATGGGGAGCGTGGATCAGCAGCCACGTCACATTCCCCGCCAGTAACCCGGCCCGGCCCAAAGAAGCGAATGATCCAACCAGTGATGAGTCCTGGACATGGGCCACCTGAGGCACGTCGTGCATAGCTAAGAAGTAGTTCAATCTATGCACAGCTGTGCCCCCGTTATTGGGCATTGCCGTGGAAAATGGCTGCATTTAATAGACAGAGTGAAATGAACTAGAGCTGCCGAAAGGACTTCAGAACATTCTTCCTATTTAGAGGTTTTCCGTGGGGTTTTAGCTGTAAGTGGCATGCAGGCCTGGAGCTCGCCGCCTGCAGGGCGGGTGGATTTCACCCTAACAGCACAGGTGGAGAGGTGAAGACGACGACAACTCCGACACCTGAAAGAGACAGAACCCCAGGGCTGGATGTAAGAATCTAGCCTCAGCCGTGTACGTTGGCATGACTCCGCTGAGGTCAATGGGGATGTGCTGATTCACACAGCTGAGGCACTAGTCCCAAGCAGTCCTACTTCACTCCATGGTGAACCTAAGGCTATGGCCTACTTAGCAGAGGTTGTGTGCGCTCTCAGATACAGGCCTGGGTGGTTTAACTTGATTCTCTCCCCGCTTGGTGTAAGCTGTTGCTTTATTTAAGGACCTGGACATTTGGACCTGGACTGTTCTTGGGCTACTGACTGTGACATGTTCTCAGAGACATAGAAAAGGAATGTTTGTTCCCAGGGGAGAGACAAATGGGTTAGGCAGGTACCTAACTTAGAGCATTCAGGGCTAAGGGGGAGCCAAACATTGCTGCCGGGAACCTGGCTGCAGTCATGCTTAGAACCGGGTCAGGAAGTAGCAAGGGTCACGCCAAGATGAAGCAGGAACAAGGGACCAAAGATAACACCCCACAAGTGAGGTATCCCAGCCCTGGAGCTGGGGAGCTTCCTCACACAGGTGCACAGAGACAGTACGGACAGCACGGTCCTTCCGAAAGCAAAGAACCCAGGCAGCTAAACTCCCTCATCATCATCATTTTCACATCTGATGATTAGCTCAGCCACCGTGTTCCTGATTTCTTCAAACTGTGTCCGGCTGTCTCTTGGATTGATTTACAGTAGCTAGCTTTATTGCTGACTTTGCTATTTGCTATCTGCTTTGATCACTTGGAAAAACCTGCCTGGCATGCTCGCTTTCACCTGCTGACTTACTTGGTCTCCCCCCCCCAGTGTAAAGAAACCGCTTTGAGTTTACAAGGCTGAGGTTACCATGAATGTCCAAGGAGAATTCTTCACAGGGGACCAAGGGACCTGTAGAGCTCAACTCTGACCTCACCTATGGTACAAGAGAGGTTTTTTGCTACGTGCCTGGTAAAGTCAGCCATTGTGCATGTCCAGGGGCTGATTTTCAGATAGTTCAGACAGGCAATTGTGTATGTAATATAGACGTGGAATTGTGTGATCGGTTTGTATAGTATGACTGAACATGCAGTAATTGCACAGGTAATGACTAATTAGTTGCATTTGTGTATGTATTTACCTAACGTATACACACACATATTACGGTAACAATTGCAAGTCTAACCTGTAGTAACCGTGTGTTTTATACATGGTTTCAGACTCTGGGTTGTTCTGCAGGTTTTCTGGTTTGGTCATTTCTTCTGCTTCCCAACCCCACTCTAAATCACTAATATTTCATTTCCCCCTTTGATAAAGATTTGAGTATCTGTTATCAGAACGCTGAACCCAGCCCTGGAGTGAACAGACTTAAAAATGAAGCATTATGAGAAATATTAGAAAAGAATATGATCTGAGTGCTGAGAAGCACTGAAGTTTATTAGAAGACTAATGCATAGATGGAAAATACCACTTTCCCTCACAATGCAGTGTTGCGAAGTTCCCTGGAACTTACGACCCAGGAAGGAGTTAACTTAGAAAACAGCAACCCCAGTAAGAGGGTACTATTTGTTTTTAAAGGAATATTTTCCCCTTCCCTTCCATTAAATGTTTAAATCTACTGATGTTTTCACTCGAGAATTCAGAATCACATAGGATTGGTTGGTGTTTGTTTTTGTAGAGAGTCAAAGTGTTGGATCAAGTTAGAAGAAAAGCATAGCTCAAACCTTGTTCGTTCTTGCTGGTTTTTATTACGCTCTTTCTGCTCTCGGTGGTGTAGCACCAATCATCTCTTCTTGCATTGATTCCCGTTCTCTCACATACACACCACATAAAATCCTGCAGGAATTTTAAATGGATATTTAACTCATATCCATACACAGCGGATGGAAACTTCTACCAGGTTTCTTCCTTGCCTGTGTATTAATCTATACAGGCTTTTCAGTTACGTCTCTGCTGTAGGCTTGCATGGTCTCCATTAGAACATTTGGTTTTGGTGCTGGAGAGCGGATGTGCTGCACTTCAGCACCTAGAGAAAGAACACCAGGGTTTGGTTTGATGATGCTCATTCTTAACCATGCAGTCACATTTGAGGATTGAAAGTGAAAAATGACTGTTCGTGCTGCAGAGAAATTCTAACTACACCATAAAACTGCGGTCAAATATAAAGCAGAGAGATCTGCACTAAGTACTTGACTGTTAATTAATAAGAATGTAATGACGCAAAAACATGCCACTGGCCTCACCACTGATGAGTGGCAGAGAGATTTCCACCAGATTACAGATCAGTGTCCCAAGATGCAAGACCTGAAGTGCACAGACGTGACTCCAGGAAAACAATGACAAGACACACAGTGAAATACACAGTATGAAACATGTGCACAGCCACCAGGATTACATCTGCTGCACCACTGGCTCCTGATACACAGACACATTTTACTGCTGTCCCCTGTTGAAATCCCCTTAGTGTGGCTGTGGGTCTGATACGTTCTTATGCATCATCTCCCAGCCCTAATGTTTTGTGTGTAGTCGATTCTGGGCTTCAGAGCAGATACACTGGATTTTAGCTGAACCCGGAAGAACATTCACCACAAGTGATGTTCACCCCGTGCAGTGTGTCAGCACCTGGCCTGTGCACAATTTAAGTCCTAGTCT